TGGGGGAAGTATGGTGGTTGCAGGAAGGGAGGTGAGAGGTATGAATGGAAAGGAGGTGGAGAAGGGCCATGGTACATGTTATTCACACCACTAGTTTACCTTGATGGTAAGAAAATGCTTCCTCCATGCTTAAGACATAGGGCGGCAGCAGCACTGTGCTCAGGCTTGGTGCCAGTTTAAGGAAAATAAGTAGGCATCAGCTTACTTGGTCCACAGAACTCTGTGACATGTTGTCTCTAGAGTATCCCCAGGGTGGCATCTAAGAGTTCTCCAGCTGGATTTGTCCCTAACTAGGGGAAGCAACTCCCAGATCAGCCCCAGTTGTAAAGAATCAATGGGCCCATGGAAAAACCTGTGTTCCCTGATGTAGCCTTTGCCTCCCTAACTCTGTATTTATTGTGTGCGTTTGCTCTCCACTAAGGTCTCTAGAAGAAGAAAAAACAGGAATCTTGAACAACCCAAAAGGAGGAATCTGAGTTAGTAAATGGAACATCCACACGTGCCCATTAGGTAAGAATACCTCAGGGAGCTGAACCAAGATTGCAAATCAGAAACCCTTTCTGGCGTCCTCAGTTAGGGCATCCCTAGCCTGCACCTGCAGATGGAAGTTTTGCAAAGTTGATGGGAAAAGGTAGATGGCTGGGGACTGGGGATTTTGAAAAAGTGTAGAAGGTGAAAACTTGTTAGGAGGTCTGCTTTTATTCTCTTTTTTGTTAATCTTTCAAATTTTAGATTCAGGAAGTACATTTGCATGTTTGTTAAGTCAATTGTGTATAATAGTGGTAATTTGGCTTCTAATGTACCCATTCCTCAAATATTGAACATTGTACCCCAGAGGTAATTTTTCAACTGTCACCTGCCTCCAATCCTCCCCGTTTTGGAGTCCTCAGTGTCTAATTTCTATTTTTATGCTCATGTGTACCCAGAACTCTGCCTTTATTCTTGGCAACAACGCCCGAAACAAGCAAAGTCAATTCTGCCCCAGAGATTATGATGTGTGACCATCTCACATATAGTCAGTGTTATCAGCTCTAGAAGTATTGCTACACATGTCCTTAATCTGCCTTTTTGCTTCTTTTGCATTTAAGGTGGAGATCTAAGTGTCTCTTGAGATGTCAGGGGAAAATAAAGAAATAAATTCTTCCAATGAAAACATCCCTACACATTTCCTCGTATTGTCTGAGCCACCCAAGCTTCTTTGTTAGGTTGATTGTTTCTGCCAACTCTAGCAGCCTATCTCAAATTGTGGACCAGAATCACCAGGGGAGCTTGTTAGGAAATTAGATTCCAGAGAGTAGGGCAAAATCTGCATTCTAAAGACCTACCTTAGGGGATTGCGAGCCATTACCCTTGGGGCTCCTAGCAGTCCTACAGGGAGCTGCAGCAAATGCGGAGAGTGCGACTTTTCCCTTGACTTTCAACCAGACCAGCTTGCAAACGCGGCTCCCCAACACTGAGACTATTTTTATTTTTATTTTTATTTTGAGACAAAGTCTCACTCTGTCACCCAGGCTGGAGTGCAGTGGCACAATCTTGGCTCACTGCAACTTCCGCCTCCCGAGTTCAAGCGATTCTCCTGCCTCAGCCTCCCGAGTAGCTGGGAATACAGGCGCGTGCCACCATGCAAGGATTTTTTTGTCATTTTAGTAGAGATGGGGTTTCACTATGTTAGCCAGGATGGTCTCAATCTCCTGACCTCATGATCTGCCCGCCTCAGCCTCCCAAAGTGCTGGGATTATATGTGTGAGCCACCACGCCCGGTCTGAGACTATTTCTTTTAAACAAATTTTTCTGCCATTGGAAAAAAAAAATTAAAACAAGATCGTTGTTTCAATTTGATCATTGCTAGAAAGAAAAGAAATAGACATCTGGAAATAACCCAATGTTCTTTAGTGCCTTTTGTTTTGGAAATTAGGGCAATCCACCAACCACTACTGCCTTTGTTGACATTTTAGGGCACACTCTTACTGGAATGTTTTAGGACATGTTAAGTCTGAGACATAACATTAGCTTTTAGATGCCTCATTAAATAGGAAAGATAAGAAGCGAAGGATGAGTGCTCCCTGTAAAGCAGAATGAAGAAGCTATGCAGGACTACCCCAGGAGAGCTGCACCTGCTCAGCAAACTGTTGGGGGCGGGGGCTAAGGACTCAAAAGAGGTGGCAAGTGCCCCAGGAGTCCCAGGGGATGCTTGCTGAGGTCTCTTTAGGGAACAGCTGACTTCCCCACTATTTCCACCTGCAGAATAACCCCACCTAGGCCTAAAATCTCAAAAAAAGTAAGAGAAATAAATTGAGAAACCATTCTAATGTGGATGTGGGCACCCCAAAGTAAAGTGCTTCTCCTCTCACCCTAAAAAAGCCAGTCAGCCTACAATCTCACCCCAAAACACTGAGCTCTCCATTGCGTTTCCCAGTCCTTCCAGATGTCTACTGAATGCCAACCAAGATGAAAGAAAAACAATCCACACCTAGACAATTTCCCCATGAAACTGCAGGACACCAAAGATAAAGATCTTTTAAAATCCAAAAATAAATGCAATTCAAAACCAGAGTGAGGCCGGGCGCGGTGGCTCATGCCTGCAATCCCAGCACTCTGGGAGGCCGAGGCAGCCAGATCACTTCAGGTCAGGAGTTCGAGACTAGCCTGGCCAACATGGTGAAACCCCGTCTCTACTAAAAAATATACAAAAATTAGCTGGGCGTGGTGGCATGTGCCTGTAGTCCCAGCTACTCAGGAGGCTGAGGCAGGAGAATCGCTTGGACCCAGGAGGTGGAGGTTGCAGTGAGCCGAGATCATGCCACTGCACCGCAGCCTGAGTGACAGAGCGAGACTCCGTTTCAAAACAACAACAACAACAACAACAACAAAACAAAACCAGAGTGAGATACCACCTCACTCCGTCAAAATGGTTATTATCTAAAAGAAAACAAGCGTTGGTGAGGATGTGAAGAGGGAACACTTATATACTATTGGTGGGATTACAAACTAAGACAGCCTTTGTGGAGAACAGTATAGAGGTTCCTCAAAAAGTCTAAAATGGAACTACTATATGATCTAGCAATCCCGCTATGAGGTATATATACAACGACAATGAAATCAATATAATCAAAGAGACATCTGTACCCCTATGTTTACTGCAGCACTATTCACAATAGCCAAGATATGGAATCAACCTAAGTGTCCAGCAACTGTGAATGGATAAAGAAAATGTGGTACATATACACCATGGAATACTGTTTAGCCATAAAATGAATGAAATTCTGTCATTGGTGGCAACATAAAAGAACCTGGAGGACATTATGCTAAGTGAAATAAACTAGACACAAAGAGACAAATACGACATGATCTCACTCATACGTGGCATCTAAAAAAGAAAAGCCATAGAAGCAGAGAGTAGAACAGTGGTTACCAGAGAGTGGGGAAGGGTCAGGGGAGGAGAGGCAAAGCTTGGTCAATGGGTACAGACCTAAAATTAGATAGGAGGAGTAAGTTCTGGTGTTCTGTTGCACAGTAAGGTGACTATGGGTAACAGTAAGGTATTGTACATTACAAAGTAGCTAGAAGAGAAAACGATAAATACACGAAATAATGAATACAACATAGATATGCATGGAAATATCAAATGGTAACCTATAAATGTGGACAATTTCAATGTCAACTAAAATAAATACCTTAATTGAAAGTAAAATGTGGTGTGATTTTGAGCACTTGGTGGAGTATGAAATGATGATGCACTTGGATGTTTTCTTTGAGTAGCACTAAAATCCACACTGAGAGGAACACCTGATCACTGCATATTTTTTTGGCTCTGCAGGAAATAATAAGGTAGCTACATTAAAGTCAAGAGTGTTTACTGACTTGCAATTTTTAACAATAATAAAGCATGAAAGATTTCACAAGAACACAAAAGCTATCATCTTTGACTATGTGGAAGGGAAAACTTGGTGGGAGGGAGGAGGGAAAAGGAGGACGGGGCACTACATGGAGAGTAAAGAGATGGCTCTGTAGATGACAGAACAAATAGAGACTTAAATATGCTACTTAAAATTATGCAGTTAACTAAAAATAATGCTATGCTTCTCTTCAGAGCAGGGAGATAAAGACAGTGAGAGATGTAAGTGAACTAAACCCTCATACTCCATAGCAGGAAATGAACAGATGATACAACAAGTTAATAAAAGACAGAGATAAATTGGAAGTCTTTGGAAATATGGAGGTAAACTCAGAAAGCCTAAAACCAGAAATGGTTAAATGTGATTCCCCCAGGGAGTAATCCTGAGGGTGGAGAGGAGGATGGCTGAGAACTTAGCATGTTTTCAGAAGCCTTCCGGATTGAATTGATTTTTAACCACATGCATGTATTACACTGACAAAAAATTTAAACAAAAATTAGTTTCAAAACTATCGCTACATTTTATATGATAACAGCAAATTCCTATATTTTAGGCACTGTTTTAAGCATTTGACATTAATCTCTTCATTGGTTTTTTCAACAACCTTATAAAGTAAGACTCCTAAATCAGACTCTCTCAGATGCAGACCCTGATCTAAGGATTTGAGCACAAATGATTTAAAGGGCTCCCAGGAAAAACCAGGAGAGGAGCGAGGACACCAGGATGAGAGGGCAAGAAGCCAAGCAAAGGCAGGATTTCAGGGCAAGTCCCAGCCTCATCCTGATTCCAGGGAGCTCTGAAGCATAAATGACACCTTGGGGTTTATCCTGCTTCACAGGGTCCATCTATTCCCTTGACTCCTCCCAACACCAGTGAGTCACTGATTCCAGCTGGGGACTGGGCATAAACTCCAAAACATTTTGACTTTCCGTAAGGGGGAAGCGACTTCCGTGCCTAAGAATCAAATAACTTCTAAGAATCAAAGTATATATATATATTATATATATTTACAATATTATATACCATATAATTATATTTTATACATATTTACAATGTTATATATAATATATATATTACACCAAGCCATGTTAAAGACACAGATGGCTTCCCATTTATTTGCTGCTTATAGTCTCACAGTGATATGAGCAATTATACACATGGGATAAAATAATATTGGGACACTGGTTATTTCATCTCTTCTGCATGGACTAGACATTGTTTCTGTCTAGTATATCTAAATATCCTTGAATTGGTGAAGGTTTTAACATATTGACAGAAACTAAATGTCTATCAGATGAAGGTTAGTCATTACTGGAAGTACAGAAAGATGGCATCAGAGAAGCCAATTCTGAGGTTGGAGTGATGGTCAGAGGCCATGCCCTATCTAGTCCAACTGGCAGGCATATCCCACTGTGTAGACACATGTGGCCATTATATCTCTGAAGAAATTGATGTGTCAAGTCCTGTATTTATACTCATCTTGTAACCTTCTGACATGATAAGGATTTTCATGGAATCATCCTTTATAAGCAGAGAAGGTGTTGACCAAAGGGCAATAATATTAGTGCCCCTTGACAATTATATTTCTCTTTGTAAATTAAAACGGGCATTCTGGTTTTATAATCTGTCTTCTTCAGTTTGAGTCAGCATTGTGATATTCTGATCCAGCCTAGGACACTAATTAAATTGAGTTTGTTGCCCTAGGCTGAGATCTAGACCCTATACGGGACCAAATTCATCTTTGGCTCCACTGATGATACCAACTGTGGCGTGAACCTTCTTTTGAAAAGTCAACAATGGACATTTGTTCCTGATAGATGAAGAAATATTCCCTAGGACTATTCCACAGGATGCTAGCTCCCACATATGCTCCATGAAAAAAAAGCGTCCAATGGCCAAAAAAATTATTTTGGAGATACTGGATGTTTCATCCTATTTTTGGAAATCCAGTGAGCATTAGAATATTAATGGGTAGAATTTCAGCATTAAAGAAACGTGATTAACATTTTCTATCCAATACCAACCAAACTCATTTGACCTTGGAATGCCATCTTTTTTTTTTTTTGACACAAACTAATGCATACATATATGGAACTAATATTATTGGGAGGGCCCACTTAGAAATAACCTGAAGGTCACTGTCTTTGTTGTCAGACATGAGCATTTTATAAATGAAGAAATTTTATACATATGTCTATATATATACACACACATATAATTTTATATATATATGATTTATATATTTTATATCAGGATGTCTGGAGGACATGATGAACTATTTTCAATATAAAATAAACTTAATACAATTCTTTTTCTTTTTTATAGTAGGGGGGGGTCTCACTCTGTTGCCCTGCCTGGCCTTGATCTCCTGGCCTCAAGCGATCCTCTCAGAGTAGCTGGGACTACAGGCATGTACCAACATACCTAGCTTGCCTAATGAAATTCTTGTTTACTCCTAATAAGACTGCATGTGTTAATTCATATGTCAAGCTTATCCAGTGTGATGAAACTGGCAAATTCACACTAAAGAGAAACTTTGAAGGTAATAATCATCCTTGATAGATAAAAAATATACATGTGTTAAAATGTAAGTATGTGTTAAGTAGGTATATGCATATGAATTTCTGTTTTTTGTTTTTTTTTTTTTTTGAGACGGAGTCTCCCTGTGTCGCCCAAGCTGGAGTGCAGTGGCATGATCTCGGCTCACTGCAAGCTCTGCCTCCCGGGTTCACACCATTCTCCTGCCTCGGCCTCCCGAGTAGCTGGAACTACAGGTGCCCGCCACCATGTCAGGCTAATTTTTTGTATTTTTAATAGAGACAGGGTTTCACCATGTTAGCCAGGATGGTCTCGATCTCCTGACCTTGTGATATGCCCACCTCGGCCTCCTAAAGTGCTGGGATTATAGGTGTGAGCCACTGCACCCGGCCTGAATTTCTTAATAAATGCAGTTTTTTCAGGGGGCGGAGCAAGATGGCCGAATAGGAACAGCTCCAGTCTCCAACTCCCAGCGCGAGCGACACAGAAGACCGGTGATTTCTGCATTTTCAACTGAGGTACTGGGTTCATCTCACTGGGGAGTGCCGGACGATCGGTGCTGGTCAGCTGCTGCAGCCCGACCAGCCAGAGCTGAAGCAGGGCGAGGCATTGCCTCACCTGGGAAGCGCAAGGGGGAAGGGAATCCCTTTTCCTAGCCAGGGGAACTGAGACACACAACACCTGGAAAATCGGGTAACTCCCACCCCAATACTGCGCTTTAAGCAAACAGGCACACCAGGAGATCATATCCCACACCTGGCCGGGAGGGTCCCACACCCACGGAGCCTCCCTCATTGCTAGCACAGCAGTCTGTGATCTACCGGCAAGGCAGCAGCGAGGCTGGGGGAGGGGCGCCCACCATTGCTGAGGCTTAAGTAGGTAAACAAAGCTGCTGGGAAGCTCGAACTGGGTGGAGCTCACAGCAGCTCAAGGAAACCTGCCTGTCTCTGTAGACTCCACCTCTGGGGACAGGGCAATAACAAATGCAGCCAAAACCTCTGCAGATGCAAACGACTCTGTCTGACAGCTTTGAAGAGAGCAGTGGATCTCCCAACACGGAGGCTGAGATCTGAGAAGGGACAGACTCCCTGCTCAAGTGGGTCCCTGACCCCTGAGTAGCCTAACTGGGAGACATCCCCCACTAGGGGCAGTCTGACACCCCACACCTCACAGGGTGGAGTACACCCCTGAGAGGAAGCTTCCAAAGCAAGAATCAGACAGGTACACTCGCTGTTCAGAAATATTCTATCTTCTGCAGCCTCTGCTGCTGATACCCAGGCAAACAGGGTCTGGAGTGGACCTCAAGCAATCTCCAACAGACCTACAGCTGAGGGTCCTGACTGTTAGAAGGAAAACTATCAAACAGGAAGGACACCTACACCAAAACCCCATCAGTACATCACCATCATCAAAGACCAGAGGCAGATAAAACCACAAAGATGGGGAAAAAGCAGGGCAGAAAAGCTGGAAATTCAAAAAATAAGAGCGCATCTCCCCCGGCAAAGGAGCGCAGCTCATCACCAGCAACGGATCAAAGCTGGACGGAGAATGACTTTGACGAGATGAGAGAAGAAGGCTTCAGTCCATCAAATTTCTCAGAGCTAAAGGAGGAATTACGTACCCAGCGCAAAGAAACTAAAAATCTTGAAAAAAAAGTGGAAGAATTGATGGCTAGAGTAATTAATGCAGAGAAGGTCCTAAACGAAATGAAAGAGATGAAAACCATGACACGAGAAATACGTGACAAATGCACAAGCTTCAGTAACCGACTCGATCAACTGGAAGAAAGAGTATCTGCGATTGAGGATCAAATGAATGAAATGAAGCGAGAAGAGAAACCAAAAGAATAAAGAAGAAAAAGAAATGAACAAAGCCTGCAAGAAGTATGGGATTATGTAAAAAGACCAAATCTACGTCTGATTGGGGTGCCTGAAAGTGAGGGGGAAAATGGAACCAAGTTGGAAAACACTCTTCAGGATATCATCCAGGAGAACTTTCCCAACCTAGTAGGGCAGGCTAACATTCAAATCCAGGAAATACAGAGAACGCCACAAAGATACTCCTCGAGAAGAGCAACTCCAAGACACATAATTGCCAGATTCACCAAAGTTGAAATGAAGGAAAAAATCTTAAGGGCAGCCAGAGAGAAAGGTCGGGTTACCCACAAAGGGAAGCCCATCAGACTAACAGCAGATCTCTCGGCAGAAACTCTACAAGCCAGAAGAGAGTGGGGGCCAATATTCAACATTCTTAAAGAAAAGAATTTTAAACCCAGAATTTCATATCCAGCCAAACTAAGTTTCATAAGTGAAGGAGAAATAAAATCCTTTACAGATAAGCAAATGCTTAGAGATTTTGTCACCACTAGGCCTGCCTTACAAGAGACCCTGAAGGAAGCACTAAACATGGAAAGGAACAACAGGTACCAGCCATTTCAAAAACATGCCAAAATGTAAAGACCATTGAGGCTAGGAAGAAACTGTATCAACTAACGAGCAAAATAACCAGTTAATATCATAATGGCAGGATCAAGTTCACACATGACAATCTTAACCTTAAATGTAAATGGACTAAATGCTCCAATTAAAAGACACAGACTGGCAAACTGGATAAAGAGTCAAGACCCATCAGTCTGCTGTATTCAGGAGACCCATCTCACACGCAGAGACATACATAGGCTCAAAATAAACGGATGGAGGTAGATTTACCAAGCAAATGGAGAACAAAAAAAAGCGGGGGTTGCAATACTAGTCTCTGATAAAACAGACTTTAAACCATCAAAGATCAAAAGAGACAAAGAAGGCCATTACATAATGGTAAAGGGATCAATTCAACAGGAAGAGCTAACTATCCTAAATATATATGCACCCAATACAGGAGCACCCAGATTCATAAAGCAAGTCCTTAGAGACTTACAAAGAGACTTAGACTCCCATACAATAATAATGGGAGACTTCAACACTCCACTGTCAGCATTAGACAGATCAACGAGACAGAAAGTTAACAAGGATATCCAGGAATTGAACTCATCTCTGCAGCAAGCAGACCTAATAGACATCTATAGAACTCTCCACCCCAAATCAACAGAATATACATTCTTCTCAGTACCACATCGTACTTACTCCAAAATCGACCACGTAATTGGAAGTAAAGCACTCCTCAGCAAATGTACAAGAACAGAAATTATAACAAACTGTCTCTCAGACCACAGTGCAATCAAACTAGAACTCAGGACTAAGAAACTCAATCAAAACCGCTCAATTACATGGAAACTGAACAACCTGCTCCTGAATGACTACTGGGTACATAACGAAATGAAGGCAGAAATAAAGATGTTCTTTGAAACCAATGAGAACAAAGATACAACATACCAGAATCTCTGGGACACATTTAAAGCAGTGTGTAGAGGGAAATTTATAGCACTAAATGCCCACAAGAGAAAGCAGGAAAGATCTAAAATTGACACTCTAACATCGCAATTAAAAGAACTAGAGAAGCAAGAGCAAACACATTCGAAAGCTAGCAGAAGGCTAGAAATAACTAAGATCAGAGCAGAACTGAAGGAGATAGAGACACAAAAAACTCTCCAAAAAATCAATGAATCCAGGAGTTGGTTTTTTGAAAAAATCAACAAAATTGACAGACCGCTAGCAAGACTAATAAAGAAGAAAAGAGAGAGG